GATGCCTTCTGCCTGTTGTTTCCTTTGAAGAAAGCAAGTGTGAGAGTGTGCATTTTGAATGAGGGCAGGTAATAAAGCTTCTACTAATGGAGCATCATGCCATACAATTTCTAATGCCTCTTCATAGTTTACCTGTTCTTTAAGCTAAGTAAGTGCATTTTGATTGACTCTTATATGTAATTTAGATTTGCTCAAAAAGAGTGACAAAGTCAAATGCAAGAGTAATTATCTCTAGAACATGATAAAAATTTTTTTTTGCCCCAGCAATAAGCTCATCAGTAGGAAAGGTTTTTAAAATAAATTTTGCATGATCTATAGCTTACCACCTCTTCCTGCCACACTGTTTAAAAACAATACATTTCAGGGGCCTCCCTGTTGGCACAAGGAGTTAAGTTTCAGCACTATGAAGCTATGGGCAGCTACTGCAGCATGAGTTCGATCTTGACCAGGGAGCTAACCCACAGGGCACAGCAGACCTCTGCTGTCTATCCCGCTGCTCCCCTCAGCAGTGTATTTCAGTCACTCTCCCTGTTCTGCTCCCCACTCTGTCTCTGGTGAATCCTTTCCCTACTCCACCTCCTCACTCACCGCACCCCTGGCCTATACCCCAGCTCTTATATGCATAAAAAAATAAATAAAATAAATCTTTAAAAAAAAAATAAAAACAATACATGTCATCTTTTAAGGTGTTGGTGATGATTTTCTTTAATTGTAAATTTCTTCTGACTCAGCAGCTCCTTCAGTGTCATTTAGTGTCACATACAGGCTGCTTGGGCAGAGGAGCAGCAAGGGGTGAAAACCCACACAGAGAGACAAGATTAAGTTCACCAAATAATGCTTCTGAAGTGTGTGTGTTTTAAGATTTATGTATTTATTTATTTATGCATATAAGAACTGGAGTACAGGCCAGAGGTGTGGGGGATGAGAGGATTCACCCGAGACAGAGAGTGGGGAACAGAACAGGCAGATTGACTGAAATACACTGCTAAGGGGAGCAGCAGGCGAGTCAGGAGAGGTCTGCTGCACCATGTGGGTCACCTCCCTAGCCAGGGATTGAAGGCGCTGCAGTGGCTGCAGACAACATCACAGTGTGGCATCTTAACCCCTCGTGCCACCAGAGGGCCCCAGAAATATGTGTGTGTGTGTGTTTTTAAAGGTTTATTTATTTATGCATACAAGAACTTGGGTACAGGCCAGAGGTATGGGGAGGTGAGAGAATTCACCAGAGACAGAGTGGGGAACAGAACAGGCAGATTGACTGAAATACACTGCTGAGGGGAACAGCAGGCGAGTCAGGAGAGGTCTGCTGCGCCATGTGGGTTGCTCCCTGGCCAGGGATTGAACATATGCTGCAGCGGCTATGGCGAGCCTCATAGATTGCCTCTTAACCCCCTGTGCCACCAGGGAGGCCATGAAGTGTGTTGTTTTAATACATGCTGGCCACTGCCACAATTCTATGGAAATATTTAAAATAAGGAATATATGCCAAAGAAGGATAGCTAATGGCTTGATCCAGTCATGTAAGAGCTAAAAATCGGCACAGTCAACATGTCAGCTCTGACTTAATTTTAGTCCCAGTCTGGTGATATTTGATTTTAGATGAAGAAGCAGAGAGAAATAAGGGCAAAGCCTCTGGTGATGTAAAAATCATCTTCCAATTTAGACTTGGGTAATAAGACATTCTAGAAAAGTGTTTCCTTCTATTTCATGCCTTACATAAAATGTAATGTGCCTATACAAGGACCAGAGATGACACATCATTTTGTGGTCTAAACTGTTTTTTTCATTTAGGTCTAGCCTCTGCTCCAGAAAATAAGATGTGACTTTGGAAATATGCCTTTTTTGCTGACTCAAGTCCTAAATTTGTAGAATGAAAATCACTATTATCATGAATTGAAAGTTGGCTGGCAAGAACTTTTCCATCATTTTTGGATCAGGAAGAAAACCAAAGTTGACATTTTTCATGGATAATTAGTTTTTCTTCTTTGTATATATATATTTCCCTTGTAATCTTTGCAACATGAATGATTTGTGCAAAAATACCTTGGCCTATGGTGATATATTAAATTTGTGACTGTCTGAGCTTGGCTTCAGGATTTAGAAGATTTGTTTGTTTGTTTTTTAAGATTTATTTATTCATGCATACAAGAACCGGGGTACAGGTTGGATGTGCGGGAGGGTGAGAGGATTCACCAGAGACAGAGCGGGGAACAGAACAGGCAGACTGACGAAATACACTGCTGAGGGGAGCAGCGGGCAAGACAGGAGAGAGGTCTGAGTGCCATGTGGGACCCTCGCCAGCCGCCCGGGATTGAACCCATACTGCAGAGGCTGCGGACAGCTTCACAGCGCTGTGCTCAACTGCCTCTGCCACCAGGGAGGCCCTAGAAGATTTGGTGTTGAACTATATAGCCTCCAAGGTGCCCCCCCAATGCTTCTGAGGATTCATAACCCTTGTGCAGCTTCTCCCACACGTCAAACTTGGTCTGTGTGATGCTAATATAATGGTGATAGAAATGATGTGGTATTCACTTAAGAGATTGTGTTATAAAAGTCTGCGTTCCATCATTGGCATTCTTTCTCTTTCCATCCCCCTCCCCTCACTCTGGGGGAAACCATGTGTGAGCATCCGTATGGAGAGGTAAGGCCTAAAATGTGGTAAGGCCTAAACCCCCTTGCCAACAGCCATGTCAGTGACTCCTCCAGGACTAGTCAAACTGCAGATGACTGAGACCCCATAACACTTTGACTGCAAAGGTGTGACAGATCCTGTAGCTAAGTCACTCTTGGGTTACTGACCCCCCAAAAACTGTGAGATGGTAAATGTTTGAAACCAGTAAGTTTGTGGAAGTTTGTTAGCTAATGCAATAGATAACCTTATGATAGCATGAGATTGGTTAATTTATTCATCTAGCCATCCATCCACCTAGCCACCCACCCACCCACACACCCCATCTCCTTGACTTTCAACAAATGTTTGAAGACCTACTATGTCCTAGGAACCATGCTTGATGAATTGGATGCTAAAATAAAGCCACAATTCATGTTTTCAAGGAGCACAATAACTAGTTTTGTCTAGCAAAACTATAGTTGAATTCTACCGTGTCATTCTATTATGATTAAATGTACATTTTAAAAGCAAATAAGTACTTAAAGCAAATTCTTATTTTTCTGTATCTTCCCTTTTTACATTCTTTATGCTAATTCAGAACATAAGGGAACAATAAACATCAATTTAAATCATATTTGGTTTATACGATGAAATGAATGTGAAATATATTCTGTGGCATCACTATTTATAAGATGTGTAATGTTTTAAGTGGATTCTTTATATTCATTATTTACATCTTTTCCCTGATCATATGAATTGTTCCAAAAATGAAAGGTACTAAGGACCAGGAAAGAAAAATCTAATTTGAGCCAAATCAGCACATAATAATAAATAATAGTAATGGAGTGCTTTCTCTATGTTAATAGAGTCTGTGCTGAGCAATTTATGTACATTTCTTCTATTAATCCTAACAAGGCATTATAATTATTATCCCTGGTTTATGGATAATAAAAGTTTTTAAACCCGAAACTCAGGTTTAGAACAAAGTTCAGAAATCAGAAAGAGTTGGGATGAGTTTTAAATCCAGATGCCAAGGTCATAGTCACTCTGCTGTTCATAAATGTACCTACTTGGGTTCTGATAGATAATACTATGCCTGTGTTTCAAGAGTTTATAGTCTTGCCAAGAGATTTCCTATTGTACTGACTGTTAAATGTAAACAGAGCCCTTAAAACTTTGTTTGACCAAATTTGTATCAGGATATCATGGGACAGTAGTCAGAATTTTAAATAGAATAGTTCATCAACTCCTGTGCTATCCAAAGGAGCCTTTTAGTACTTCCTTAGAATTCTAATGTAGCTATTGTAAATAGTGCTGCTATAAACATAGGGGTGCAGGTGTTCTTTGGAATTGATGTTTCTGTGTCCTTTGGGTAAATACCTAGGAGTGGAATTGCTGGATCCTGTGGAAGCTCTATGTTTAGTAGGTCCAGAAATCTCCACACAGCTCTCCATAGCCCAAAAATAGATGACTGGATCAAGAAGATGTGGTACATATATACCATGGAATATTACTCAGCATTCAAAAAAGATAAACATATGCAATTTGCAGCAACATGGATGGTGCTGGAAGGGATCATGCTCAGTGAAATAAGCCAAAAAGAAAAAGAAAAATACCGGATGGTCTCACTCATAGCAGGAATCTAGAAAACTTAAATAAGGGACCAGGAAAATGAATAACTATAAGAAAGTGAAAATCAAAATCAACAAAAACTATGAACCAGAGACACTTTTTGGGGGGGGGGGCGGGAGGGGAGGGATTGGGGTCAGAATGGGGGGATTGCAATTGTATGGGGAATATAAAAATAAAATTTATTAATTAAAAAAAGAATTCTAATGTAAAAGTACTTTATCTCATTGTGTTATTATCACTGTTACATCAGAAGGGACTGAGATGAGTGGACTAGTGTCTCCTGGGAGGAGAGCAATTCCCCTCACTGTTTGCCTTTATAAGACTGTATTTGGCACCCACCAGGAAGCAATGCACTAGTTAAATTCTCTTGAGAAAAGGACTTGGATTAATTGGCCCTGGCTTTAATACAAGCATTGCTGTTTATCAGATGCATGGCCTTAGTCTAGATGCTTAAGCACTTTTGAACTTATTTTCTCATATATAAAATTAGAATAATATTTTTTTACAGGATGCTGATTTAATGAGTCTCCCCTTCTATTTTCCCAGCACCCCATCCTCCCCTCCCCAAACAGGTCATTAAATAATGATTTATATCCTCATTTCTTTAGAGAATGAGGTGAGCTTCAGATTATAAAACCAAGGCCAAAATAATTTTGCAGAATTAGAATGTGTCCAGGAAAGCAGTCACAGTTCAATTGGATTAATCTTCAATATGGAAATGATTGTATTCTTCCACATCATCTTCAATTTAGGAAGCTTATAATTCTTCAGCAGGTGGAAAGAAAAGAACTCTTGTTTCTGCTCTAAGTGGCTGAGAAGACATTTTCTTTCTTGATGGACAAACACTATTTCTTTTTTCTGCTCTTCCCCCTCTCCTTTCCTTGGTTTCTCCCTTTCCACGAAGCATCTTCAGACACAGCTGCTCACCCTTGAAGTCTTAAGGTCTGTCTCTGTAGAGGCCAGAACATGCAGCGTCCTCAGGAACTCAAAATAGGCATTGTGAGTTGGATGCCAGTTATAAACCTCCGCCCTCTTGGCCCAAGGCAACCCACTAAATAGTTTCACTACTTTTATGGATTTGGATTCAGTAGGCCTGGCAACCTCACCAAGCAGCTGGGCTCTCAGACGAGTCATGCACAAGGCATATTCTGAAAGTGAAGATTTCATTGAGCAGCAAGGAACAAAAGTCCCTAGTTGTGACCTTTCTCTCCTGGGCATCCCTTCCCTGGAGATTGTAATAATCCCAGCATGCTTTTAAATTGTTCTGAGGAGTAAGTGCATATCCGGACTTCATGTTGACCATAAATAGTTGAACATGGGGTCATTTTTCTTGATTACCCTTCACCCCCTCCTTCTCCTTTTCTTAACTAGCAGCCTGTCTTATCCAGTCCTAACCCTCCAGAAGGATTTTAGCCGGATACATGAGATTTCAAGTTGAATAAGAAACTTCAAATAAAAACCAGGGAACAAAATGTATCCAGCCAAGTGAAGGTCAGATGGTGGCAGCTGCCCAGGAGGTTACATCATAGAAATAAAATTGAGTTAAAAGGAATACCTACTTTATTAATTAACTTACAATTTAAATAAAAGAAGAAACAAATGTGTATGATATACAGAGAGGGTATTGCTGCATCAGAAAATGTCTAAAATTGCCAAAGTGCAATCAGAAAATTTCATGTTTTGGTGTGCACCTTTCTAAAGTATTTATATTCTCTGCTTCTTTTTACAATAGTTAGCAATTTGAATTTAAATCCATGGCTTTATGTCATAAATCTCTCTCAATGGTCTTCTCCCTTTTACTTTTTTCTCTACTGCTATGTATTCCTACCATCTGCTTCTTGATGTCCTTGTCATTTTCCAAATGAGGGATGGGCTGTTTTCCACATGATGTGGTAGAATTAGGGACCAGTTATGCTGCTGGGATAGAGACAGATCAAGATTCCCTTTCATCCCCTAAGAGCAGTCTTTTCCAATGCTATTTCTCCTATTCCTGGATTTTTCTTCTGCTCCTGCTTGCAGGGGTCAGCACACTTATTGCTCAAAAGGAAGCTACATTGAGCTTTGGCCATACGTCCTTGGAGGGAAAAAAGATTCAAACTGCTTCATCTCCTTGACCAATTGGTGCAGAGGTGAAGGGAAGCTGGACCGGACATTGACCTGGTTAGAGCCCAGGGAAGCACCTTAGGCAAGAAGCAGGGAAGGCAGGCCTCCTCTCTGCAGGACCCAGAAAGGCACCTGGATGGTGTGCTTGATTGGGCCTCAGGTATCTTTGGGGGTGATGTCGGGGCTTCTGTGAGCCCTCTGATTTTTCATGTTTTGGTTTCTTTGCGTTGCATAAAATTAAATGCGCTTGACTTGGTTGTAGACTTTATTCCCTCCCTGGGTGAAGGGTCCCAGATAGTAGAGTATGTTGGCTGCCAGCTCTGAGTGACTGCCAGGCTTAATGAAAGAGAATGTTTTAAAAAGGAGCATGCTGAGTGGGGTCTGAAGTGCTTCAGGGAGCATTTCAAATTGGATCCTTTTAAAATCAGATGATCTCCTGGGATAATGAGTTATGAGAGGTGCCAGGATTGTTTGCCTCAGGCTCAACACTGCTGAAGACCATAAGCTTCAGCCTACGGTCTAAGGAATGAAGCACAATTCTGCATTGGACTCACCTTCTTCAAGGCTCTGAGGGCTCATTGGCCTTTTAATTAATAATTTAAAAAATTTATAGTTTGGACATTGTTTTTTAAAAAGTTGATATAAGTCCTCCCTGGTGGCAAAGGGGTTAGGATGCAGCCTACGAAGCTGTCCCCAGCCTCTGCAGCATGAGTTCGATCCCCGGGCCGGCCAGGGAGCAACCCACATGGCGCAGCAGACCTCTCCTGTATCACCCACTTCTTCCCTCAGCAGTATACTTCGGTCAATCTGCCTGTTCTGTTCCCCATTCTGTCTCTGGTGAATCCTTTCACCACCCCCCCCCCGACACTCTGGCCTGTACCCCAGCTCTTGTATGCATAAATAAATAAATCCTTAAAAAATTTAAAAAGTTGATATATCTCTACAATTCTAGAATCCTGCTGGCCCTTATGCATCCTTGTGACAAAGTACCCACTATTCTTTGATGATTCTCTTGGTTGCAAAGCCATGACCATTGAGATTCATTGTATCAGGTAGGTCTTGCTTTAAAAATGCTGTGTAACAAACTGTCCCAAAAATCTTTAGCCTATATTAACAATGGCTTTTGTTGTGGGTTGTCTGGTCTTAGCTCAGGTATAGGGTCTGTTTTATTTATTTGCTCCTTGTCTGACTAGCAGTTACTTCTGCAATAATCATATCAGAGTTTTAAAAGGGGCATGCTAGACTGCACAAGCACATTGGAGTCTGTTTGTGTCTGTCATGCTGAGAGCCTGCCTTTCACCAAAACAGATTACCTGGCCAAGTCAATTTAATGGTCCAGGAAAGTATATTCCATCCGTAATGGAAAGAATAGCAAAGTTGTGTGGCAACAACCATGGATATATAATTTCAATATAGAGACAAAATGAAGAATCATGAGCAGCGGTTCAGTCTACCATACCACAATCAGATTTTCTTCTTCTCTTTTCTCCTTTCCTCCCCTCTACTCTTCCTCTTCACTCCTCTTCCCTCCCCCGTATCTTCTCTCTCTCTTCTTAACCCCCCCATTCTCGTTCTCCTCCCTTCCTCCCAACTGTTATAAAATATACATGACCTAAAAATTGCCATTTGACTGTATTTAAGTCTATGGTTCTTTCTGTGCATTAGTTATAGTTACATTGTTGTACAATTATTACCATCATGCATCTCTAGAACTTTGCCATCTTTCTAAACAGAAACTTCCCATATAACAGACACTGTCCATTTCCCTCCTCCATCCAATTCCTGGCAACTGTTACTTTACTTTTTGTCTATTAATTTGACTGTTCTAGATATCTCATATAAGTAGAATTATTCAATGTGTTTGTCCTTTGGAGACTTGCTTATTTCACTTAGCAAAATACCTTGAGATTCATTCATGTTGTAGCATGTTAGAATTTCCTTCCTTTTTAGGGCTGAATAATATTCCCTTATATATGTGTGCCATATTTCATCTATTCATCTGTCAATGGATACCTGAGTTGCTTCCACTTTCCTTATTCTTTGTTCCTGAGTTATCATTTTCCCTATGGCTGGAGCCATTAGATATTGCCTAATAATCTTTTCCATGCCAGACCCTTGTCTGTTTATTCATTGATGCAACAAATGCTTACAAAGCATTTACTACATACCAGTGATTATCCTAAAGGAGCCTGACATCTTTACATACTTAAAAGTTGCGCTTCCCTTTTTGATAGCCAATAGTCACTTGTTATTTAAGTATAAATTAATAATTTAGCATAATACAAATATAATTATAAATGTTATTATAAATATTATAAACTGATGTAATATTTTAAAATGCAGTTTTCTGTTTATAGCTACTTCAAGTGATGAATATGTCTTACAGATACTGGATCGGATGGCTCAGATAGAAAACATTTCCATCTTTGCAAAAAGTTCTGTTGGATAGCACTGACTTATGGAAAAAACACATGGCAGGGGGTGATCAAAAACTCTTTCCGGGAAACTCTACTCTTAAGCTATGATATCATCAAAGGGACACCTTGTGAGTAGAAGCTTACCATTGTTTATTCTTCCAGGTTTGATCAACAAACCAGTCAATCCTCTGCACTTAGGAAGGCAACTGAGCAACCATTTCAGTTTCTCTAGGTCAGTGTCCGTTTTACTTCCCAGGAGGCATTCATCAGTATCTGGAGACAGTGTTAGTTATCACAGTGGAGATGGGGAAATGCTACTGGTGTCTTATTTAGTGTGTTGAGGCCAGGGAGGCTACTAAAATCTTACAATGCACAGTTCAGCCCCCAAAGCATATGGCTCTAAATATTAATAATTCAAAGTTTGGGATATATTCTTGTTCCTGGTGAAATGATAAGGGCTCAGAGAGCCATGTTTTCTGATACATAGAAGAATCTGGGGTACAATCAGAGAAAAATGAAACCCTTGAGGTTGAAAACAACTGATGAAGTCAAGTCCCAGGCCCCTGGCTACTGAGACCAGCCTCTGTCCTCTGTGTGAGTTCTGTGAAGGACCTCAGTGTTACATTTTTTTCACTTGAATTATTTTAAATTGGAGTTTAACTTTGTGCTAAATGTTCCTAGTACAGCATGTTATGTAGCAGCCCCCCCCTTTAAAATCATAGTCTGTGTAATTTGGGTATTACATTTCAGTAGTTCTATGAAACGTCTAACCCCTCAGAGGTATGCAGGTGCAGTAAGCTCATGGAGATGTCATGACTAAATTCTAAATAAACTGTCACATCCCCATAAATCTTATATTATCTTAAAAAAGCAAACAGTGGGGTCTCATCATATTTTCCAAGTGGCCTCTTGGCTGATACGCTTAGTCCGATATGTTTTTTTTTTTTTTTAAAAAAAGATTTATTTATTTATTTATTTATTTTTTATACAAGCACTGTGTACAGTCAGAAGCATGGGAGGGTGAGAGAATTCACCAGAGCCAGAGCGGGGAGCAGAGCAGGCAGAGGGACCGAAGTACACTGCTGAGGGGAGCAGTGGGCTGCAGGAGAGGTCTGCGCGCCATGTGGGACCCTCCTCTGGTGGCCAGGGAGCAGCTAGGACTCGAACCAGCACTGCAGAGGCTGCGGGCAGTTTCGCAACCCAGCGCTCAACCGCTGCGCCACCGGGGAGGCCCTTAGTCCTATATGTTTTTACTGGAAGCCAGAGTCCATCAGTAAAATGCCTTTTCAAATCTTATTATCTCAGCATTCCGGGATAACCTCTCAGGGGATTTTGCATAACATCACCTGGATGAATTAAAATACCTACATGCGTTTAAAGAGGGCCCCATGATTTTAAAGAAGACTGTTTTAATCACTTGTAAACTAGATGAATTAACATGATTTCCAAAACTGGACAACTTGAGCCTTTGATTTTATTAAGAAATCTTTGACAGAATGTCCATGGAGTGGCACATTTTTGTCCTAGAGATTTAAAACAAGAAGAGATGATGTGTATGAAAGTGAACTGTAAAGTCCTACACAAATGTAAATTATTTTAGGATATGCACTAATTGGCACAGCCATGTAGGAATACTTGACTACAGATTTACAAATAAATACAATAAATATACTGTGAAGCTATATAAAAAAATCATTTCAGTGATCTGGTTTAGCATCTCCACATGTATTTGCTTTTATTTAAAGTGAATAAGAAATACATGTGCAATAAAAAATTCAAGCAGTACAAAAGGTTATAGAATGAGAAATCTTTGATTTCTTGATGTCTCAAATTTTCCCAGATGAGCCACCGTTAATGGTCTCTTGTTCTAGAAATTGCTTATACATATGCAGGGGTATACTTTTTCATCTTCCCTTTCCCTCCTTCTAAATAAATATTTAGAAAAATGTAGAAAATATATGTATATGTGTATATACATACATACATACATACGTATATATAATTTATGTATATTTGATATATATGTATCAGTTTCTGCTCCTTGTTATTGACAGTTAACATTTGCAACTTTATTTTGGGGCTCTTTTCCATTAACACCAAGATTGATTTCATTTTTTCCAGTGACTTGGAGTTCACCTTCATGTCAGTGTTCCATACATAATTCATTTAACCAGTCCCCTGCTGACGAGCATTAAAGTTCTTTCCAGATTTTTGTTTTTACAAATAATGCTGCAATGAGTAATATATTCTTGTATGTTGATCTTTATGCACATATAATTGTATTTATAAAAAATATGATCCCAGTAGTGTAGTTTCTGTTTTAAAAAGCAGGTGTATTTTTTATTACATATTACAAATTTGGCTTCTAAAAAGCTGCACCAGTTTTTACCTTTACCAGCTGTCTATATAGACATACCTCAAATTTCATCCCCTGTTTCCATATCATCTTTTCCTTCCCATTTCTGTCTCCACTCCTCTTGCTACCTCTAGACCTAGTCTGAAATCTGGGAAGCCTACAGTTGAAGGGTTTATCTCATCGAAGTTTGTAGAACAAGTAAATGGGTGGTAGCATTCTTGAAAGACAAAACTCTCTCCTGTTTGAGCACTGCTGGAATTTTCTCCCTGGCAGGGGTAAAACTTTAGATGTAAAACTTTAGTGTCCCACTGGGCACCCACCCATGTCCCCCCCTTTCATTGCTGGCTCAACTTTTAGGGGAAATCCCCTTCCTCACCCTTTCTTCTCTCATTCCCTGGAAGGCTTCTAAGAGCTGGTACTTATTCATCTGTAGTGCTGGAAAAGTCAAAATTTATCCAGGTGTTCTGGCAGCTTGCCAGCACTTAAAAGTAGTCATAGTGGGACCACTTCATTTTTTGCCATTTCGGAAGAGGCAGTGTCTCTTTGCGTGGACAAGAAGAAACACTTTCCAGTGGACTGTTTGGCCTGGCATTGCCATTAGCGCATTCGCTGGGGAGATGGTTTCTCCAGCTAAGCTGAAAGAGGATCCAGGGTTCAGCCCACTTGCTCCTCTGTCTTTCCCAGCCTTTGACCCCAACTGGGAGAATCCAGAACTTGACTCTGGCCTGTAGAGTGTAACTGCGGCACTTAAAAAAATCCTTTCACCATGACATTATTGGCAACTCCGCTCTTTAGTACGCTTCTGTTTTTGAAAATTTTTGGCATGCTGGGGGTTCTTTTCTCCCCTGTCAACACTTTATTATGCAAAAATTTAAACATGCAGCAAAGTTGGCAGTTTATAGTAAACACCCAACCGTCCGCTAATAGATTCTGACACACATTTTATTGTATTTGTTTTATGACATAGATATACCTCTGCACATCATTTTGGGTTCTAAGTGGTATCTCGCTGGCATTTCAGAGGTGCCCTGGTGTGGTGGTGAGAGTATGAGCTATGGAGCAAGGTTGCCAGGTTTGAAACCTGACTGCACTCTACTAACCCTGTCACCTTGGGCAAGTTACTAAACCTCTTGTGCCTCAAAGTTCTAATCTGTCAAATGGAAATAATAATGGTATTAACATCTGTGGATTTTGTGAGATTAAATGAAAGAGTAATTAATTAATGTATCATATTTAGAATAAGCTTGTTATATCAACAATTTTATACATGAAATAAGGTGCTAAACTAATCTTAATTCTATACTTTTAAAAAACTAAGTTAATAGATCCCATGAATTTGGGAGGTGAATATCTTGTTTGCCTGGTATTGTGGACGTGGTGCTATTTGATCCTCAAAATAAATTTAAACATTATTCCTATTTGCCAATGAGCAAACTGAGGCTTAGAAAGTGGCAGCAATGGAATTATATCACATGTCTCTCTGATTCTTTCTCTTATTCTCTGGTAGAAGTCTCCAGACTTCATCCTTTATTTGCTAATCACAAGATGAAGAAATTTCAGGATTGTGTAAAGTGGCAGAGATTTCTGTGGCTGAGAAAAAAAATCCTCACCTGAGCTCTGGGAAACAGGTACAAGCATCTAAAGTTTTATCACTCTGGTGTGACTTTGAGCTGTTGAAGGTCAGTCTTGCAGAAGAAAGAACACCTTGCTATGTTTTGTATCTTGTTAAAAATACTTTCCTTTCCATTAGCATTTTCAATTCCTGTTTCTCTTGCTGTGTGGAGCTCTGGCTGACCTAGCTGTGTAGGAATTACCTTGGGGTGTTTTGGCAGTGCCCTCATTTGTCAACTGTTTAACATCTTAGATGCTCGAAAAAGCACCCATCCTTTGCTGTCCAAAATCTTTTCTGGAAAGAAGGGTGGAAAATAGAAAAAAATTGATTACTGACTGTCTTGCAGACCTGGATATGGGGAGGAAAAGCCCCTTTTGGTCGCTTCAGGGTGAAGTTTGTGGCTTTTATAGCATCTTTCTGTTTCTGAGAAATGGTCTACGGTGAGCTGTGTTATGTTTGCACCCCAGGCAGTAAGGAGGATGTTGAAACAGTGCCCTTCCTCAGCTTCTGTTTTCTTATTTGAGTTCCAGTCTTATTCATATTCAATCCTTTCCCCTTCCCCATTAATTCTACGTGCTAATATGTCCTCAACACCCTTTCACATTGGTGAATCTCCCTTTCTAATTAAGAGGCCATCATTTTTAATGGCATCGTTTTGCTTTCATTTTATTTGCTTTTCAAGTTATTTAATTTTTATGGCAGCAGACTCAGTCTACTCATTGGAGTGATACAAAGTTTCTACTTAAAATCTTTAATTACATTAAAAACTTTTTTTTTTAAATTAAGACAGGATAGTTAGGGTAGTACTCAAGATCTGGCCAAAGTCATGAGGTTGCGATGCAAATGACAGTTTTCTTAAACACAAAAGAATACTTTTTGCTTTTGTCTGTCCAGTCTCCAATGACAATGATGTTGTGGGCAGAAGAACATTTATCAGATAGTTGCATCTGTTTCAGAGATGTGCAGTGGAAAATAATTTACACTCTACTTCTGTTTCATGGCTAAGGGAAATAAATACAGTAGGTTCTGGCCTCTTCGGAAGGTTTTCGAACAAGGCTAATTATGCCTTGGGGCTTTGGCCAAGCTTGCTTGTTGTGAGATGGTCCTTGCTATGATCCGTACCCAGAGTAGATGACTTGGACGTAGATGTTCCTACTTCTCATTTCTTTTTTTTTTTAAGATTTATTTATTTATGCATAAAAGAGCTGGGGTACAGGCCAGCGATGCGGGGAGGGGGGGTGAGAGGAGCCACCAGAGACAGACTGGGGAACAGAACAGGCAGACTGACCAAAATACACTGCTAAGGGGAGCAGCAAGAGAGACAGGAGAGGTCTGCCTCGCCTTGTGGGTTGCTCCCTAGCCGGCTGGGGATCGAACTCGTGCTGCAGAGGCTATGGATTGCTTCATAGTGTGGTGCTTAACCCCTTGCGCCACCAGGGAGGCCTCCAACTTCTCATTGAAAATCTTTGCATGTTTTATGCTGGACATCCATGAAATGGGTATTATCTATCTGTTAGATTTGGGGTGGCTTCCTAAAGCAGAGGAACATCAAAAAGTAGTGTCCTCAGGGAACCCCTGAAAGAGAATCTCTGATAAGCTTGAGGATTTGCATGATTTTTTTTTAGAGATTCTGTTTAGGGATTTAAAGATATGCAGCTGTGCACAAAATCTGTCTGAGCTGAGTTATGGCTAAATAACCTGAGGTTGGAAAAGGAGAGAAAGTGCAAGACACTTCCCTGGGAAAGAGAAGACGACACTCACTGGTAAGTATGCTGGCAGTTCATGTTCCTAGATCTGATTTAACATTAGTGTGGAAATTACTTCCTTCAACACTTGGGGACTGTGGTACCTGTCAGCAGGTCAGTGCTTGGCTTCTCTCAAGCCCTAATAGTCTCCAGGTTCCCCTATGGATCTCGGATTCTAAGGTAATTACTGGAGGCAGAGGTACACTGTGAAAGAGATAGTGAACGGGTAGAAGACATGGGCAGGGCAATTACTGAGTGACGATTGGTGTTGTGTTTCTCACTCTTCAGGATGGTGTGGCATAGCTGCCTTGCAGAGATGTGATGCAATAGGGGTTAATGTGAAGGCTTTTAAAGTCATGGTATTGCTAGAAGGAGAAGACTCAGAGTGCAGAGTGCCAGGATTTGGGAATCCACTGCTTTTTTTTTGGAAGTCTGGCTTACCCATTTGGACAAGTTGCTTAAGCTTAATGGGCTGCCTTTGTCTAACATGAAAAAAATGTTGACCTTCAGTCAACAAATTTCAAGAACCTACTGAATGCCTGGTACTATAACAAATTTTGAGAGAAATGGGTGGAAAAAGTAGGCACAACTTTCTGCTGTTATGGAGTTGCTTCCCCTCCTTTAGGATTGATGTGAGACTTAAATAAAATAGTGTCTGTGAGAGGGTTTGGCATGGGGCTGGCTCTTCTTAATATTATTAAAAAATTATCTTGGAGGACCTCCCTGGTGGCGCAAGGGGTGAAGCACAGCACTGTGAAGATATCTGCAGCTTCTGCAGTATGAGTTCAATCCCCGGCTAGGGAGCTATCCACATGGTGCAGCAAACCTCTCCTGTCTCACCTGTGCTCCCCTCAGCAGTGTATTTCAGTCAGTCTGCCTGTTCTGCTCCCTGCTCTGTCTCTGGTGAATCCTCTCACCCTCCTGTACCTCTGGCCTGTAACCTAGTTCTTGTATGCATAAATAAATAAATCTTTTAAAAATTATCTTGGCAGTTATGAACTGCCCATTCTATGTTGGGTTGTCATTACTTTAACAAAATTCTGAGAACAGATTACTTCATTACTTTATACACAACATTTAATAAGAAACCTGATATTCTGTCAATGTTCTCTTTTGAGATACTCTTGAGATAAGCATAATTTCTCTACTCATTGTGTTAAAACTTTTTAATAAAAATTTTTGACAGAACTACCAGCAGAACAGAACTCATCTGACAGAACAGGACAGAACTCATTTAACAGAGGGCCTCCCTGGTGGCGCAGCGGTTGAGCGCTGAGTTGCGAAGCTGCCCGCAGCCTCTGCAGCACCGGTTCAATCCCCAGCTGCTCCCCGGCCACTGAAGGAGGGTCCCACATGGCGCACAGACCTCTCCTGCCGCCCGCTGCTCCCCTCAGCAGTGTACTTCGGTCCTTCTGCCTGCTCAGCTCCCAGCTCTGGCTCTGGTGAATTCTCTCACCCTCCTGCGCTTCTGACTGTACCCAGTGCCTATATAAATAAATAAATAAATCTTTAAAAAAAATAATAAAATTAAAAAAAATCAAGTTATTTAAAAAAAAAAAAGAACTCATTTAACAGAACAGAATTCATCTTTCCAATCAACTGAATCAGAAAGTACATTTGGGGTGTGTGTATGGGTGCGCGTGTGTGTGTGTGTGTGTGTGTGCATGCAGACATACACATAGGAATAACTATTAGGAAAACTTGATAAACTTTAGTACTATATAGTTCAGAGTAGAATCCATGAAATAGACAAGGCAAAAATGCTTGCTACCCACCCTAAAACTCCTGATATGGGAAAGATAGTGGGAAAAAGTCAGCCTCTTTATGAATATTATGCCGTGTCTAGGAATCTGTCCTCTTAGAAGACCTGATCTTTTCAATAAACTTAGCTGATTGCCCAGGTGGAGGCCGAGTTCTTAGCTCTTGGTTAGAGAGCTCATTCATAAGTTTTAGCAGGCAGATACCTTATTAAAGGAAGCCTAACAGGAAGGTCTAGGAGATGAGGAATGGAGTCTGTCTTCATGAAAATTTCATGTTTTGAAACATGTAAAATAAATGCTATAAATGGGTATAATTCTATATCATCTGTTCAGCTTTTGACTGTATTGGACATGAGGAGACCTGTTCTCACAAAGTGCCGTTTGAAACACCATGTAGGCACTATTCTTTCCTTGTCCCATTGGTATCTCTAGAAGGGCTTCATTTTTATATTATTTTTCAAGATAATTTCATAGCTCACATACAAAGGTATTTCTGCTGTTGTAGTCAGTCATGTATAATGCACAAAATTATTTTTCAGTATATATTTTTTGTTTTGTATATTTTCTTAATTTAGATAGGAAATGTTCAAGATGCCAGTCATTAATTTATTCCTGAAAATGTACAGTTTACTTATACATGTTCAGTGTTGCTTAAAGAACTTGAGTTGAAAATAACCATAGTAAAACCATAGTAACTTGCCCCAGGAAGGGATGGACTGAATCGTTGAATGAATTCAGAGGTGAGGAGCAGTGCATGCTGGGAAAGTAGTACCAAGCTCACAATGACTTTTATTTCTACAGATTTTTGACTGCAAAGAGGCCAGTGCTTATTTTTCCTCCTCCTGATATATCTCAGGAGGAGGAAATAGTGTGATGCGGGCTAAGCCAGAAGGACACAGGGATATATACCCATTCCTCTTTGTCCCTAGAGGCATGATGTCATGGAAGTTCAAAAAACTCTCCTGGGATTTCATGGTATTTCAAAGCATAAAAGGAGACTATTTCACTCATCTGTTTAGCCTATCAGTATTTGCAAGACTGACACAGGCTGGTATGTGCTCTTTGCTGCCTGTCTCATGGAAAAGACAGATGAATCCCTGCCCACCAAGAGCTTAAAACTTAAGAGATAAGGTACAGAAAGTGAGAGTGGTGGATTGTTAATAGACAAGGAAAAAATGCATGTAACTGGAACATATAGACTTGTTTCTCATAGTATTTTTTCTTTGTGCTCATATAGGAGGAAGACTGAGAAACTTGATGGGGGGATTTTTTGCTCACCAAAGTGGGCAAAAGGTTTTAAGGACTCACCTTCTGGCACAGTTCTACTTAAAGGCTGTCTTGTGTATATTTGTGAGGACAATGAGTTCTATAATTCCAGTGCCAGATTTGGGGGATTTCCTCCTCTGTGATTTTGTTCTCTCTGATTTTAGAATAAAACGCTGTAATTATGTTATGATGGGCATTTTTTTTTTAACCCTTTTGAGTCATTCCTTAGGGCAGACGTCCTTTTCGTTTGGCAACACCTGAGACCAGTGACAGCCTAGTCTTCTTAGAATTGCTTGTATTTATCAGTTTATTAGACACCACTCAAAAGAAGATGTCTGCCCACTCTTCTCTCAACTCTCTTCTCCAAAGATGTCAAAACCCCGGTGAAGAATCTGTGAAATGTGAACTATGACATGGTTATATAAGGTTCAATGAAACAGCTGGAGATTTTCCCAGCAGAAGACTAAGGCAGAATTGTCTAGACATCACTTTCTCCTTTTCTAGGCAAGCCTTTCTGGGCGCTTTTCCACATGGGGAATCCAGGCTCAAAGGAAAGCCAATTGGGCTGTCTAAAAACCCATCTGGCGTGAGTTGAGATCACTCCTGAAGCATTATTGGGCTGTCGTTTTTGGTTTGAGAAGACCACAGAGATGTTTGTGTTTTTTTTTTTTTAAAGATTTATTTATTTTGTACAAGAACTGGGATACAGGCCAGATGTGCGGGAGGGTGAGAGGATTCACCAGAGACAGAGTGGGGAACAGAACAGGCAGACTGACGAAATGCACTGCTGAGGGGAACAGCGGGCTGGACAGGAGAGGTCTGCGCGCCATGTGGGACCCTCCCCGGCCAGCCGTGATCGAACCTGTGCTGCAGAGGCTGTGGACAGCTTCACAGCGTGGTGCTCAACCGCCTGCACCACCAGGGGAGGCCCCACAGAGATATTTGTATC